ACACACACACACACACACACACACACACACACACACACACACACACAGTTTCTTTATTGTATGGCCTCCCTCTCCAACAGGCAGTAAACTAGGGTTATCTACTATACACATAGGCTTGAGACCTCTAGCTAGCCTTGACTTATGTCATCAGCCCTGATTCGTCTATAAGGGGTAAGATGCTGGCTTACAACTAAGACTTAGACATAGACTATAACCCATTTCTCTCTCTCTCTCTCTCTCACACGCACGCACACACACACACACACACACACACACACACACACACACATGCACGCACAGCCCAGGGTTTGTGAGCTTTAGCCATATTGTTATTTTGGAGCAGATAGTTTTAGGAGGGAAGGGGCTGTCTCGGGCCTTTTAAGCAGCCATCCCTGGCCTCTACCTACTCAAAAAGACAGACTTCATCTTCCACCACGACCCTGACAATAACAAATATCCCGTCTTTGCCAAATGACTCTTTTTTTTCAAGAAATTTTAGGCAAAGTCTTTTTAAGAAATACTGGAGGGGTGGGGCAGAGATCGAGTAGGTGGAGTTTGCAAGGAAGTTATGTGGTCCATTGAATGATACCTCTGCTTTAAAAGTAAGTATGGGACTCAAAAGATGTCAGGTTAAAAATTCCATTTCATAAATGGTAGATCACAAAATGTGATCTTAAAATCTGAGTCGCTTCTTGCATGGTCAGCACACAACTCTAAATAGCAGCAAGGTTAAATAGTGTAATAAAGAAACCAGGCTCATTTACAATTATGCACCACTCATTTGAGCAGCAAACTATGAATGCGTAACTGGACAAACGTTTTTTTTTAGCTAGCAGTGTTGTTTTTATACATCAGTGAAACTTGCCTTTTTAACTGTGAAGAATAAAGAAAACTAAAGTCAACTTAGGATAGTCATGTAAGTGACTACTCTAAATCATTAAATATGTTATACTGTGTCTATCCTGACACATAGCTGAACCCACCATGTGAAAATCCCATTAAGATTTCACTAAACGGAAGGCAGGATTCTCAGCCGAGCTCCCTCATCTAGATTCTACACATGGTCTCCTGGGACTATGCCCTTCATGTGCTTTCCGGAAGCTCATTTTCATCAACATGAAAGGGTAAACATCCAGGGGTAAAAGATAAACACGGGGGTAAAGTTGGAAGTAAAATATTTACTACTTTGAGTTTTAATGTATAAAGATGTAGTCATTGTGTAAATATATAGATTGTATTGTTTGTACTTGATTTTGGCAAATGAAGCCAAAATGTAAATGTATATATTGGACAACTGTATTAGAATTGTCTATTTTGTAAAGAGGAAATTGTCTTATTTCCTTTACATGTGATGAGTAATTATAGTAAGATGTAATGTTTGCTGGTTCTAATTAAATGTGTTTTGTCATTTTTCTCTCCATCAAACGTATATAAGATGAATGTATTTGTTTGTACACCAACTTGGTGAATTTATCTGACTTCTTAGAAACAATCAAATTGTAGTAATTGGCATAACTAAAAGCCTTTTCTGATATCAAAGCACAAAAAAACAGACAGAAAAGTTTTTTATTTAGTTGTCAGTCATCTTTTTCATGTTGTTAAATATCATTAAAATTGTTTTTGGAAGTTAAGCTACTCTCCTTGGGTTTTTATTGCAAAGACACGTATTTCAGTATGTCTTAGGGACTCCTTTTGCTTCAGAACACAGCAAAGGCTCAATTTAGAAAGACCTAGGCTGTCAGTAGCAGACATCTCTGGCTGGTTAAAGAATGAAAGCAGCTGGTGTGCTGCAACATGCAAAGCCTAGTTAAAACACTTGAATATTAAGTGAGGGGGACCTGAATGTTTAAAGAAGCTAAATACACCGAAGTGAACATACTGAAGAATGAAAGCTAGACATATTTGCATGTACAGACTAGGCAGATTGCTGCAGAGTGTGGGCAGAATGTGAGTGTGTTGCCTTCTGTATAATGTAAAAATATCCCGATTTGGGTATCAGGCATTCCTTCATGTGGATTCCTAACCCCCAAAAATGTACAGTTTTATATATATATATATAAAGCAACAAAAACAAAAAGAACCTGGAACATATGCTTAAAATACAATGCTGGAGAAAAAGAACATTTTTGTTGTTGTTTTTAGTTTTCTGGGTTTTGGATTTTTTTTTTCTTAACAGAAAGACTTATATTGTTTTTTTTATTTTAAAATAGTCATACAATATATTTTGAACATATTCTTCCCTTTCATCCAACTCTTCCTAGATCCTCACCTCCCTACTCATCCAACTTTATGCAAACACACACAAAAAAAGCATAAAATCAATTTTGTGTTGGCAACATGGGATCTGCCCTGGAGTGTTACTGGTATGCTGAGTGACATTTTATAAGTTTTCCATTTACTCACAGGTATTGATTGCAAACAGCTAATTGGTTAGGGTAGGACTCTGTGTTCATCTCCACTTCTCAGTGCTGGCATTTTAAAATCTATACTAAAGCCATCATCTTGTCGTACACATGTAACTGTATAATAATTTTATATTTACTCATTTTTAAAGGGTGATTCCTTTTACTGATTCTATATTAGCATTAAAAACTACACACAAAATTTCTCTAGCAGTCTGTCTCTCACCCTATTGCAACCCTTAATTTTTAAATAAGATAGCAATTGAAGAGCCAACATTAGATCATACTTAAGGACCACGCCAGCCTTACAGAACGGCTACACTAAACTACACTTTTTGGTTCTAGTCCATTTAAAATCTTATTTGAAAGTAGGTCACAGTTATAGCCCTGGATCTACTGCCCTCTGCTGGATAATTCAACTACTAACAACACACAATAGACTAGAATAGCTACTTTGCTTGCCTACTTAATGTTTAACCAGATGCTTTTCAACATCTGGATGTAGTACAACTTACATGTCAGTTGTATTTAATTTGAGACACAGTACGTGAAACCAAAAGCACCAGTATTCATTAAACGAGTATCTGAGTACACACTATAAGCTCCTGAACTGGTTAGGAACTTTGGTGACAAACTATTGGACATAGATAGTACTTGTGGTAGCATTAGCTACCATGACAAAATATGAGGCAGAAGAAATGGGCAGGATTCTGTTTTTAAGCAAGGTAGTCTATGAAGAAGGCTCTCTGTGGAAGTAACATTCAGAGATCAGAACAAAGAGTAGGAACAGAGTAACATAAATCTCAAAAAGAAAGAACAATCTAGAAAAGGCAGGAATAGCCTGCCCACACCAGCCACAGCAAAGCAGCAAGCCTGGAGCAGAATGCAAGGTGGGGAGGAGAAGGCTAATGTGTTAGATCACAGAGGTGAGAGCTATGGACCTAGGGATCCCAGCACCTGTGAGAAGGCTCTTCCTAGAAAGATGAGTTAGGCTACAAGTGGTAGAGGCAGCATGACCATCAGGTAATGGCTGTAGTTCACAAGGCCTGGACCATGAAGTGGAAGAAAGTGGATACAAGACTCACCCAGGAATCCTATAAGCCAAGGGGTTTACACTCACAAAGTCAAAGCCAAGATCCAAAGGATTGCTTCTTAATCACTGTCTCTCAAAACATTCTGAAGGCATGTTGTGACTATACAGACCATACAATAAAAAATCTAGAGGCTACATCAACAACTCAGTCTCTGATATTACCTTCATGTGAAGATAAGACCCTTTCCATTCTCTACTCGTTCAAAAGCACCTGAGCATAAACATGAGCTCATGGCAACCGTGCTTTGGGAAGGAACTCACCTCACCATCACAATCGCAGGCCAGAGCAAGCAATGTGTTAAAAGTTGCTGTTCGTTTTTAAGGTTTACTTTAACAGCCAACTGGCAATGGCTACTTATCAGGCTCACTCTCTCCACAACAATGAACTCTGCCACTCCTGAGACTGTTGGTATTAAGGGTGCTCCTGGCGAATCCCAGTGCTATGCACTACAAACTTTCAAGGACGTTCCATTCTGGTTCTTCCAAAATCAAGTCCTACATCTTTACATTGGAGACTTTTGAGCAGCAGCCTGGGCCCCACCTACTTAAAGAAGGCACGGTTCTGTAAAACCATTTTTAATGACTTCTCTAAAACATAATGACTTCTTTAAAAACATAATTCTTTCAATAATGGCCTTTTAAAAGACCATTTGAGCCAGGCACAATGGCAGACACCTGTAATCCCAGCACTCAATGAGGCAGAGGTTGGTGTTCTCTGTGAGTTCGAGGCCATCCAGGTCTACACAGAGAAACCGTCTCAGAAAAAAAACAAAAAAACAAAACAAAAAAAAAACAGCATTTGAATAATCTTTTTGTCGTTGTTTTATTTGTTTGTTTTTGTTTTTTGAAACGAGGTTTCTCCATACAGACCTGGTGTCCTGCAACTCACTATGTAAACCAGGCTGGCTCCAAATTCAGAAATCCTCAATAAATGCTAAATTTAAAGACAAGACATGCACCACCACTCCCAGATGTAATAGAGCTAGCTAAAAACTTGAAAGGATCTCACATTAAATGCATTAAATTAAAACACTAAATGCAACGTATTAGCATCATGGGTGCAAAATCCTGATAATTTACAGAATGGCCTACTAGCATAATGTATTTTCAGGTAGAGCCAACCCCCAGCTCTTGATCCCCACAGACACAGACTAAAGCTTGGTGGAAAGACAGGAAGGCCATAATGTGAGAGAAGGCTGAGACATATAGAAGGTCAAATCACTAACAGAAGTGAATGGAGATTTTACTCTCTCCCAGTGTCCTTCTTAACCCAGTCACTAGGGTAGACCAAGGAACCAAGGGATTCCTGAAGGTATGTGACTGTCCTGTCACCCACAGCCACCCAGGACAGATGATCCTCCCACGGCAGGAAAGGTGAAGGGCAGGGGAGGGGGTCTGTCACAAGAAGGGCATTCAGAAAACACTGCTGAGTATATGAGCTAATAAGATAAAATATGTTCCCTGGATATAATAAATAGGAATACTAAGCTACTCGCAAAAAAAAAAGCCTTCCAATCTAAGTGTTTCAAAGTAGTTTTCACTCTTACTATGAGCAATGCTACCTCTAGAATGATGACAATTACCCAATTATGCTGATATGTACAGATTTAGAGACAGGGTTCTCCATGTAGCTCTGGCTGTCCTGGAACTCATTCTGTGGACCAGGCTGTCCTTGAACTCAAAGATCCTCCTGTCTCTGCTTCTTGAGTGCTGGGACTAAAAGTGCTTATCACCACTGCCCAGCTTAATTAATGTATGTGTATGTGTGTGTGTGTGTGTGTGTGTGTGTGTGTGTGTGTGTGTGCGCGCGCGCACAGGCGCGCACATACAATGGTGTTTTGTCTGTGTGAGGATGTTAGAAGTCATGGAACTAGAGTTACAGAGAGCTCTGAGCTGCTATGTCACTCCTGGGAATTGAACGCAGGACCTCTGGAAGAAGAGCCAGTGCTCTTAACCACTGAGCCATCTCTCCAGCTCTGCTCATATTTTAATTATTTATGAGCTCAGAATGCATCTTAATTCACCCAATGAACCTGTATGAAGTGATGGAAATGTTAGTCATCTGGGTTGTGATGATCACTCTAAAATACAAGCATCACAAAACCACATTATGGAACTTAAATGCATTTTACTTGTCAAACAGATGTCAATAAAGCTGAAAAAAATTTTCAAAACATATTGTATGGGACTTGTATACTCAAACCTGCCATGAGACTGACCAATCAAAAACTCGATATTTGGTATAAAAATCTTGCAGAAAAATTGTTTACTAATAACTTCACACAAGCTATAAATGTTATACAGACATTACGTGAACTATCCAAATCACTTTAGTAAATAATTACACAATCTACTTAAATAGCTGTAGGCCAACTTTTAAACACCATACACCATTTTTTACACTAACCACCTGCTAGTTAGTTTTGTAACAATTCTATGCTAATTTGTACAGTCATCACAACATTCACAACTAATGAAATATAAAAAGCTTTATTATATAATTATAGTTTCTGAAGTCATAATGGTCTCTGCAACAACAAAATTCTTAGGGATTATCACTGATTATAAACAGGATCTGCTTTTAAGCTGCTTAAATCATGATTATGATTTATTTAGGTTCACTTTTAAGCTATGTAAAATATGTAATATCAAAACTGACAATGACTTTCTGATTCTGCCTTTTATACAGGCCTGATAACGATTCTGATCTTCCTGAGACAGCTGACAGCTCATGTGAGCTGGCCACTATTAGCAGTTAGTCACAGAAGGATGGGTCTGTCACAGACTCCTTATCTCATGTCGAAATTAAGGCATTTCTTCCCGTCTTTAGTTCCTAGGTAGCCCCTCATTCATGCATTTGCTATTTCTCCTTTCGTGTAACCTAAGGGATGGTTTATCTAATTTAAGATTTAGCACACCAAAAATTGACTAGTCACCAGCTGCCCAGAAGCATTCTTTGTTTCTTTTCCAAGATGAGCCTGATTCTTCATATATCTCCTAAAAAACAGAAACACAGCAAGTATTCAAAATGCATTATGTTATTAAGAGAGAATAAAATACTTTGAACAAATCAGACAAGTGAATAGCACATCTATTTCTACCTCCCAGGAACTCCTTTTTAACAATATAATTGACAGTTCCCTGAGGCACCAAGAGCACAAACATAAATACATGTTCCTTACGCATTAGCACTCTAACTCAGACCAGGAAGTGACAGGCCAGAAGCTATCACAAGACAAGATGCAACTACAGAAAAGAATAAACAATTCCATTTGGGCCACACACACATCCATCTCTTTTGATAAAACTTTTATTTTATATGATAAATTATGATATGTATGATAAATTACATATGAGAAAATGGAAAGTCTTTAGCTTTAAACCTTTCTTCTTTCCAAACTCACCTACTGGAACATTACTTTAAAAAGAAAAGGTGGACTGGATTTCCACTGGCTGTGAAGTTGCATTGAGTCCAGGTGTTTAAACAGGCCTGGCTGTAGTTGAGTGTGACCTCTGTGAGGTATCCTAACCTTCCTGCAGCCCCCTTCCCTGTGTCTCAGATGATCTGCAGTGTGGGCTAGGCAAACAATCAGTTTGGAACTCAGACAACCGTGAACAGAAGAAGAAAATCATCGCTTCTTTCCACAGTGGCCATATTTCATTTCTCCAGTGAGAGAAATCCAAGGTCAACTGCCCTTAAATTCACTCCTGTAGTTTTCATCTCTAAGACTCATCTCTTCTCCTTTTCCCTCTTCCTTTCCCCTCTCCTCTAGTCTTTCTCTTCCTCCTTCTCTTTCCCCTGTCTCTCTCTCCCTTTCTTTCTCTCCCCCTTCTCTCTGTTCTCCCTGTCTCTGTCTCTCTCCCTTCTCTCCCCTTCCCTGTCTATCTCTGCCTCTGTGTCTCTGTCTCTCTCCTCTACTAACTTGCTGAATTTCTTTCTCCAGGTTTTTTTTTTTTTCCCCAGTTTCCTCACAACAGCCATTTCAAAGCTTGGTCTGTAAGGTCTGAGCTGCACCTCAGAGGGTGTGTCAGCAGCGTCTTGTCTGTTCCTGGATGAGGTCTGAGTTCCTTGCCCTATAGACTGCCTGTGAGACCTGCAGTTTCCTGTCCCTCTACAAAGAAAAGCCTCTGGAAAGGTCCCCAGTCCTCAACGCATAAAGGGAGAGCGTGCGCCCACTCCTGCCTACTGCTCTCACTCACAGGGCTAGGTCCTCATCTGCTGCTTGATGGTGCTCTCCTCTCCAGTAGAAAAAGCTACCATTGCCATCTGGCTGGAACCTCATTTTGAATGTTCTCAGCTCCTCTCCCTTGTCCAGGCTTGCCTCATGATCTCTCAGAATCATGAGCTCCTCACACACCCTATCTTGCAATCCCAAAGGAGTTCCTAAAGTCTTTAGCCCACAGGGAGGATCAGGTTTTACTCAGAAAATATGTCCACTAACTCTCTCAGACCCTGGTTCAGTGTCCCACTTGCTTATCTTTCTGCTGATTGAGGAGAGCCACTCCCTTGAGGATAGTACTGGCCTTGACTTTTCGAGCTGTCATTAGTTCCTCGGCTTTGGGAACAGTCACACTGCTGAGGGAAGCTTGAGGATTCTGGACTCAGATACATAAGGACACATTTCCAAGTGCAGAACTATCTCCCCAATGCTGCTACACTACTTGGGGGAGGAGAGGTCGTCCCTTCAAAATGCCCCATTTAACCAGAGAATTACTTGTTCTTGTTTGACTAATGGCAGAAAACCAGCCAGAATGTCCTATCAATGTTTATATTTTTACGTGCTTTTGAGATGGGGCCTACATAGCCTACAACAGACTAAAACATGTGATTCTCCAGCAGTGCTGAGAATGTAGACGTGCAAAAACATGTCTGCTACCTATCTGCTTTCTAATCCACCCAGTAAGCATTTTCTCAGACACAGTCTCCACCCTGAAAAGAAGAACCATTAGGCAAATGCTCTTTTCTCTTGAGGAATTACTATCTTAACCAGACACTAAAAAGCCAGAATTAGCCTAACTTTCCAAAGAAAAGACCTCTAGTTGAATAGAATCCTACCTGAAGGGAAATTTCTTTATAAACCACAGGAACAGTGAGGATTAGAAATTCTAACTGCCAGCACTTGTGAAACCCTACTCTACAGCATACACTTCTTGGGATATATATATGTGTGTGTGTGTGTGTGTGTGTGTGTGTGTGTGTGTGTGTGTGTGTGTTATACAAAACATGTAACATATATATATATATTACATGTTTTATATATAACACACATATATAAGATATATATGATGGTTAAACTTAATATAACAGCCACTACATAAATGCACTATTTCCCAAATAAGGAAAACAAGATGCTATGGGTAAGCAAGGCATATAAAGCCAAATTCAAAAATGTGCTCTTAATTCCCATCCTTTATCTAAGAAAAATATCATGTCCATGTGGCAAGAAGAGGAATTTTTCTCACTTACCTTTTTCCATATGGGCACCTTGGCTTTTAAAGAATCAATGGCGTAGCTCACGGCCTCAAGGGACGCAGCTCTGTGAGGCGAGGACACAGCAATAACTGTGCTTGCTTCCAACACTGGAACCAAACTTTAACAAGATGATAAAAGTTACCATTATCTCCGAACTAGCATATTAAAGAAACCACTTAAAAAGTGAAAAAAAACCTCTCTGTATGTATTCTATTATATTTAAATATCTAGTTTAACTAGAGAACAATAATTCATGTCAGCTATATTCAGTGGAAGTTAGCATCTATCCATAAACATTCTTTGATGGGGACTAAGAAGAAAAGGTACTCTCTCTAATTCAACAAACATCAGATTCAAACAAGGTACAGTGTAAGATGGTGTCTAAAGGCTACAGAGTGACCACATACACTTAATTTGGCATTACATATAATAAATATCAATTCATCTTAAGCAATAGGATTGACAACACCAGGTAACATTACCAGTTAGTAATAAAATTATAGCTAATAACAAAATGACAGATGTCTTAATTGATGGCTTCTTTTAAAATCCTGGATCACTGCTCTTTTTGGTTGTATAAGAAACAAACTCTTTTTAATGGCTTCACATCTGCAGCCAACTTTCAACTTCAGAAAAACTGTCTAAAGGCCTTGAGGATTTAAGTAGACATTCTCACAGGCAGTGAGGGCCAAGACCTGAAGGTTTCATTATAGCAAAAGAGGCGATGAGGTCATCTGATGCTGCAACCCAAGAAGTAGTCAGACTAAATGCTGAATGCCCTCTCTACTGTCCTCTGGAGAAAAAGCACAAGCTCCTTTCTGGGCAAGAGTGCATCTGATTCAGTATCAACACACAGACGGAAAGCGAAGCATCCTTTTCTTGTTAAGAAAGTGTCTTAGTCAGTATCAACATACAGATGGAAAGCCACCATATTCAACATCCAGAAGATAAGGAGATCTTACCCAAGTCGATGGAACACCGCTATGTGTCTGACTGGCCATTTTTGTCTAATGTCACTACAAATTTTTCTGATTTCATTTTCTGCCATCGGTAGATAGGCTTCATATTCTAAACTAATGACTTTTTTGCCTTCAAAGTTATTTCTTGTAGTCCCTGAAAAACAAAACAAACAAAAACCACACAATGAAAATGAGGTTTTTCTCTATAACAGAAATACTTCATTTACAGATATTTTTAAAAAGAAATTATTTCTTTAAATAAAAATACATCTTTTTCTTGTTAAGTCAAAGAGGTATCAAAATTAAAGCAAAATTTACCCGGTAAGACTTCATAAAACTACTAAGGCGCATCAAACAAAGTGAAAATGGAACTAGGCACAGGTCAATTATGAATTAGTGAACACAGAAATAGGAAAGGGAGAAGAATGAGAATGTGCTGAATATACCAGGGGGGAGGAAGGATGTGGTGTCACTTTGATCTCTCACAAGTGCCCAGGTAAATGAATAATGGGATAAGATTTCTAAACTCCACTTTGTGCTTAAGAGTCATCCTTCCCGTTGGTGCTGTCCCTGTCATCCTCCCCTCCCTCAGGCTCTTTTTCATCATCACTGATCATCTCCAGCTGGTCACCCCCCCATCTTCATGATCGTCATCATCCAGCAGGGCACCCTCCTCAGCAGTCAACTGCGCCTGCCTCAGACCCCATCTTCACATTAGTCTCACCCTTCTTCACAGAGGCGCTGCTCTGCGCTTCTTCAGGCTTTTTGTTCTTCGTCTCTCCTGGGGATGAGAAGGACAAGTCTGCCTGTTTGCTTTGTTCTTTTTCAATTTTTTTCCAAGCTTTCCAGCAGAGAATTCACTTTTTGATTTATCTGAGTGGGCTCCTTCTTCACACCCTGAAGGTCACGACCTTCCAGACTTGGAAGAAGATCCCCGTTGTCCACTCTGAACTGAATCCGACTTTGCCCCTTTGTGAGGTGCTTCCCGACACACGTCGGCATTTAGAAGGCACCACAGCTCGAGCAATAGGAGGAGGAGGAACATGCGCTGAGCAACTGTACATCCTGTCATAACAATCCCACTGAAAGTCACAGTCCAAGTCAAATGAGGGGCTCTCCATCTCCGCTGCAGATCGTTTCATACCTGCTTTTCCTTGACTCATTTTTGACTCTGCAAAGAACCTGGCCAGCAATCATTCTGCCATCCTCTTCAGCTACAGCAGCCTGGGCATTTCCTCCATTAACATATTGGACGAGGCAAAGCCCTTATGCATAGAGCAACCCACAATTTTGCCATATTCTGAAAATATGGCCTCCACATCAGACTTCTTGACCACAAGAGTGTTCAGATTCCCAATGAGTACACGGGATTTCATGGAGTGAGGACCTGTCTTGTTGGTAACATTGCTAGCCATCTCCTTTGTGGATAAGGTTTCTCACAAAGCTGAAAATGCAGCTGAAGATCAAAAAAATCTCACAAGAAGTAGAGAGAGAGGAGGCTGCCTCTCCTCCTGCGGGTTTGTGCCGAGACGCCGAGGCTATAGCAAGAAGGGGGCACATGACTTTGCTCTCCATCTCCATCTCCTATCTAACTTACAAAGAAGTACTGTGCATTTGTCTAAAACCTACTTTAAATTTCCTACAAGCAAAATTTGATTAGGAGAACCAAAGAGGATCATCTCCAAGATGATCAGGAATAACAGTAACTAAGCAAGCTCCCTGAAAGCATTCACATGTCTGTATTAGCTGTATTCCTCTTCTTACCAACAGTGCTTCAGACTTAAAAGGAAAACATTTTTGTTCCCAGTATTATCAACAAATATATACTTTATCTCAACATTTAGAAAGAACAAAAGTAACAGTTGACTTTTATCATGCTTGTAATTATTATGCCTGTATTATAATGCCTGTAATTTAATATGGCTTGTTAATCAAAAAGTAATTAAGATAAAACTAAAACCGGAGATGGGAATGGTAGTGCATGCCTTTAATCTTAGTACTCGGGAGCACCCAGCCTCCAGACACACAACGGCTAGGCTGATTCTGATTCTCTTTGGTTTCTCTTTCTCTAAGAGAGACCGGAGCGCCTCCGGGAAAATTGCCTGAATAAAGGTATAAAGAAGAAAAAAAAAATCCCAGTATTCAGGAGGCAGTAGTAGGTGGCTCTCACTCTGTGAGTTCGAGGCCAGCCCAGCCTGGTCTACAAACTGAGTCCAGGACAACCAGGGTTCTGTTACACAGAGAAACCCTATCTAAAAATGAACAAAAAACAAACCTAAAACTGGCAAGTTTCTGTTCACCGCCATTGGCAGTGTTTACTGCTCATCCTTTGACTGTGGACACCAACATAGAAAGCACTTACGGGTTTCTACTCTGTAGAAGCAGAGAAAATCACAAACTCACCTACAAAGAGAGACACTGCACCACACGGCGGGGAGATCACCAGCTGAGACACTTCATCCACTGAAAGCTTCTCAGCAGTGAATCGTATTATGTCTTTGGGTTTCTCTTCAACCTCATCCTCATCTTTCCTAGAAATAAGATGTCAACCACCCTTAGCAAGAGGAATGCCAGAAGTAATACCTTCAACTTATACACTGTTTCTGGCTCTACTTTTCCTATATTAGGTGAGAAGAGGAGGATTTGATTTAAATGATAAAATTTAAGTCCAAAGTTTTAACAAATACAACCATTACTATCCTTCGTGAAGTTACAGGAATTCTACGTGAGCATGATCATTAACATGTGTCAGTGTCATGTGCCAATATACACATAAAATGTAATTGCTGTACATCTCTCCCATCACGATAAGTTGAGGTTTCACCACTTTTATCTATGTGTATGTCATCACTAACAACTATGCAACCAAGCCCTACACCCAGAACATCACTAACCGCTATGTAACCAAGCCCCACATCTGGAATGGCCTTCTCCTTTATTCAAGCAAGAGATGGGAAGAGAAAAGATAATTTCATAGGAACAAGGAGCCTTCACAACCTGGCTGAAGCCCAGTAAGTCATGGAGGAAAGAAGGTAACACTTGGGCACCTGTTCTCAGTTGTTGTGTCTTTTGTAGTTTTTCATTTATTCATCAAACAGTATTATGCAATGCCATCTGTTTATACTACGCTGTGTCCACTTGACACAGATAGAATTATCTGAAAAGAGGGAACATCAAACTGCCACCAGATTGGCCTGTAGGTAAGCCTTCGGGGCATTTTCTTTACTGATGATTGATGTGCAAGGACCCAGCTCACTGAGGAGGGTGCCGCAGCTAGGCTAGCGGTTCTGGGTGCTATAGGAAAGCAGGCAAAGCAAACCATAATGAGAAATCCATAAGAAACAAGCCAGCACGCAGTATTCCTCCATGGTGTCCGCTTCAGTTCCAGCCTTGCGCTCCTGCCTTGACTTCCCTCAGGGACGGAGTATGACACAGAGTTGTGAGCACACTTAAACTCCTCTGTTCTCGCCTCGCTTGTGGTCATGGTGTTTTTTTCATAGGAATAGAAACCCTAAGACAAATGACTGAGAGCCAGAGGGCAGTCTAGGCACTGGTCTGCAGGGAACAAAAGCAGAGGCTCCTGGCTCGTATCTGAATCCACTCCTACAGGTTGGCTCTGACGCCCACATGCACCCTGTGGGAATGTGTACGTTTACACATGCAAACACACACAATAAGTACATGCAAAGAAAAAAAACTTAAGAGCAACCACAAGCCATAACTATTTTCATTAATTCTGAGACAGGTCTCAGGAGCTTTTGAAGATAAGGGGATCCCAAAGGTCTCTCTACAAAGATGATGTTCAAAGCTGAGACCTGCAAGATTAAGGAGTAACACGAAGAAATGGATACAGGTTGTAGGTGATGATGGGGAGTGGCAAATGCCAAGAGTCTCGATCAACAGAGAATGTGATGTGCTTAAAAGCACAGGAGTGAAGGGGAGAGGCTAGCCAGGCGAGAGGGCCTTACAGTATATGCCATGAGAAGTACAATTAGAAATCCTGTGAAAGTTCATCTGAATAAAGAAAGGAAAGGTGGCTCAGGGAAGTTACTGAGGATGTGTTCAAAATGCTGACAGTCCAGAAAGTCTTAATCCAGTGTTTGTTTCCCTGTCTCCAACTTTAAAAGACCAGCACCTGGCTCCCAGGATTCCTCACATTCTCTCTGCTGCCTGGAGAACTGTGTTCCTCTACACCAGTGGGTTAACTGTCCTAACACTTTAATACAGTTCCTCATGTTGCGGTGACCCCCCAACCATAAAATTATTTCTTTGCTACTTCATAACTGTAACTTTGCTGCTGTTACAGATCATAATGTAAATATCTGATACGCAGGCTATCTGATATGTGACCCCTGTGAAAGGGTCGTTCGGCCCCCAAAGGGGTCACAACCCATAGGTTAAGAACCATTGTTTTTACACACGTTTTTCTTTTTCTGATAACACCGAACCCAAATGGTGCGTTCAACCACAACCAAGTTGTCACGTATACGTTGTATACAAGTTATCTCGTGTGATGACCCTTCACCACTCTGTACACAAGTTGGCATGCGGACGACCCATACCAAGACCGGCTAAGAAGAAGAAACAGTACATACCTGGATGGCTCGGAAGCATTATCCTCCACTGATTGGGGGGATGACGGCAACTTCGTCTCCGGGCTGAAGCAGGAGTGGCTGATCTCCAAGCTCGACATACTCTTGGCGAACAGCAAATATCACCTGGTTTCTAACATCAGCCAGTCTGAAGGAGAGCGGTCTGCTTAGACGCGAGCCACACCTCACACCTCCTCCGCTGCACCGCACACCACATCACTCACAAAGGCATTCGTCTGACTCTCATTCTGTGGAGGGCACATCCCTATGGTATGTCAGGTTCCTCTGCACCGAAAGCCGTGTGTTTGGGGGCAAAGAAACAAACATCCCCAAACTAGACACGGACCAATATTCAAAGCATTGAAAAGCAACAACATGGCCTTTTCACAGGCCTGCTAAGTGTAGACACACGGTAAGTCTAGGTAAGTCTCCCAGGAGACCACGTGTGCCCCTGCAGGTGGGTAAAACAGCACAAAGGTCTTGCCAACTTTCCCCTGAAAGTAAAAGCAATCTGTGAGATTCCTAAGCAGGGAGGAGTATTTCCTTCCCAGCGTACTGTGCAGCGTTACCTGCACCAGGCACCGGGGTCAGTGTGAAACCTCTCTGTGCAGGCCGAAGAAGCACTATTGAGATCCTGGGACATTTTCAAGTAAGTCCCTTCCACATTTCAGAAGACTGGAGATAAAACGATCACAGTTCAAAATCAGAGTTTCAGGGACCAGGGGGAAATGCTGAAGCATCATAAAAGCCAAGCCTAGCAGCCTGTAGAGTTTGCCAGGCTTCATTTTTCTTTTAATCTCGCAAACTTTTGAATATTCTAAAGAAAAGGACAGAAAAGTTTACGGTGTCCATTTTTTAACATTTCATCTTGGGTTATAAAACGCAGAACTTATATTTTCTGCCTTAGAAATTATAAGAAATGATTGTAAATTATATAAACATGTCCAGGAATGTCCACTTTACTTATCCATTTTAGTAAATTATCTGTAATGTTAGTAAATCATCTGAGCATTGCTAAATAGCAGAGTTTTAAGATTTTAAGAAAAACAAATTAGTACTCTTGTTTTATAGTACACACACAAATTAACACATTGTAAAAAAAAAAATTTACATGTTCATCATATGCATTCTACAACTTTACCCAGGATGGAGAATCTCTAGCTCCTTCCACAGCTGCAACGCTTGGATTTCCTGAGGCACGGAAATGGTCTCTGAACGAACTCCAGTTATTTCAGCACTCTTTGCAAAATACAGCACTTCAATCTGAAAGGGGAGGCGCTGCTTTAAACAACTCACTGAGAAGTATCTTTACTTTTCAAAAGCAATGTCTCAGAAACCTTCAATTTAGCCCGTGGTGGTTTGGGTGCACGTCTGTACTCCCAGCACTTAGGAGGCAGAGGCAGGTGGATCTCTGTGTCTTCAATGCCATCCTGGTCTACTTGAGTTCCAGCACAGCCAGGGCAACACAGAGAAACCCTGTCTCAAAAAAAAAAAAAAAAAAAAAAAAAGAAAGAAAGAAAGAAGAAAGAAAGAAAGAAAGAAAGAAAGAAAGAAAGAAAGAAAGGCTTCAATATATTCACAGATTCATAATTGAGAAAAAAGTTTTAATCTCAATTCCGATTTCTGCATACTCTTTAGACCTGTCATAAACTTGTGTGGCACCATTAAAATCCTAGTACATGGAAATCCTTGGAAAACACGGTAAGTCTGTAAGTCTGACCTCAATTAACATGGAAGTGATTCTTCCATAAACCTGAAACAGTGAACAGAGGTCTGAGTCAAAAGGTGAATTACACACGTAAATTAATCGGACCAGTCACCAAGGGCCTAGCTTTCTTTTCACGGTGGTCAGATGACCTTTGATTCCAGTCTACATTACGATCAAGTTACACAACACAGAACATCTGACATGCGGCAAAGCAAACGGGCTTGAGTAACAGGATAAGCTGGTCTTTCCTAGGCCAAACCTGTGCAATCAGCCTGGGAACTAAGGCTCCTGACCATGCAAACCGGCTCACCTGTCACTCAGTACAACTCAGTCTCTCCTCAACAATCACGGCTTCTGCAAACTATCCAGGGCTTGTCAACCCCTGGGTGACGCCCATTTCCACACCATGACTGTTAATTAGTTGCGTCTTAATTTTTAAAAAGTGCCTGTCAAAGTGCCCATCCGGAAGGGCAGGGAATTTAAAAACGTCTAGGAGCCTCCATAAGGGAGTCGCTTATTAAGGCCACGACCTGTATAGCAGAGTTCGGGGACACAACTTGACTTTCGGAGAACAGCAGGCTCAAGGCCGCGAGCCAGGGAGGACATGGGGAAGCGGGAGAGAAGGGCTGCCCACGCAGGGCCCGGCCTGCGGCGGAGCCCCGTGCCCAGGCTAGCTCGCTCGCGCGTACCCCCTCTTACCTGGCACCGCGGCACCATCCCGCTACGCACCTCGGCGGAGGCTCCTGGTGACTCGAGGCGCCTGCGCAGACAGCTGCCCCACCTCCCCGGGTCCGCCCAACCCCGGGTCGCGTGGACACTGCGCATGTGCACACTTCCCCCGCCCCCTTCCGCGTCTGCAGAAGTTCTCCGCTGCGGAAGCGTCTGCGCGTGGGTCCCTGCGCCGCGGTCCTCGCTGTGACCCGGCAAGGTTTCTTTCCCCGCCTCTGTGGCCCCTCCATCCAGTGTGGGATCGGGGTTCCTATCCCAGCGTGAGGACTCTGTGACTGCCCCTTCAGTGCTCTGGGCCCTCCGTAGTTTCTGAGCTAGCGACTGCATCTAGACTTCCAGCCGCAAACCTCTGCCGTGGCCGTCGCACGGGTGCGTGGGTCTAAGCGGTCCTCGCTCGGCGCGCAGTCCAGAGCAAAATACTCCTAGGGGTTAACGGTGGCTGTGTTCAAAGAGGAATCCTGGAAAAAAAAACACATACATTTTAATGAGCGTGGAAGGGGGCGTGGCGTGGGGCACCTGCCATAGGAAGTCTCAGCCAAGGAGATTCTTGTGCCAAATAAATTAGCCAAAATAGTAACAAATATGGGAGGAGGGGCCTTTTTCGCGTTTCCTTGTCAGGGAATATAAAACTGGGTAATAAATTCCCAGAAGAAAAACAGTTGGCAAGGTGAGTGTTCCCTTTTCAAGAAAGGAAAGAAAAGAAATACCGGAGGAGGGGGCTGGATGATTAATAAGCCTGATCTATGATTTACATCAACATATATTTTGACAAGATTGCTAAGCATTATGGTTGAAGGTTTTATGTCCACATCCAGTTAGGAAAACAAGGAAACTGTAACAGTCACCATAGGCTCCTTGGTGGTGGCCAATGACAGCAACGAGCAATATCTACAAAAGGCTAAGAAATAATACATGGCTCAGTGCGGTTATGCAGCCAAATGGGTACACATGAAGGCCAGAGCCTATTGTTCCTGATGGGGGGCCCATAAAAATCACCTTTGTAAAAGATTTCATTAAAGAGTGTGAATGGCACAGTAATGAAGACATTAATAGCAAAACCAGAGCATAATAAATTAATTCAAATATTAAAAAACTAATTACGAGACCACGTTTATATTCTAGAGTGTTAATGACATCAGAAAAATGTCATTTATTTTTATTTCAATGAAAATTGCCCAGCATTGAGTATGTAATTACAAAACGTCCAGTTTCTCCATAGTTTTCGTAATGATGCCTCTTTATTTTACAAGGTTCTGTAAAATAAAGGTCTGGAGATGTAGCTTAGTGTAAAGCCACGGCCCACAGCACTGAAAAGTAAATTTAAAAAAAATCTCTTCAGAGCTAGAATAAACAATGGTCTTTCAAATGCCACACATTTGCCTCCAGTTTTTCTGTTGATGGGTTTAAATTAATGACTTAGCTAAACAAGAACGTCTTTGTCAGTCTGTTATGTTGGGAACCTTGCTGCTTCATTTCCTAGTTATTAGTGGGGTGAATCTTTCATGGTTTGGGCAGTGGATTACTTTATTTGTAAGTCAATCATGCTATAATACAGTCAGCCTTGTACGCAGGATGGTATAAATCATGTGTAAATAGTGTGCTGTTTCATGTAAGGAAACCGAGCACCTGCAGCTTTGGGCAGCCTTGGAGGAAGCTGGGACCAACTCCTCACCCCCATGGATATTTAGGGCAGCTGCGCATAGTCTGGCAGCTTCATCTAAGACATGATGTGGAGCTGAACTAAATACCCCTTTAAAAGCCGTGAAGAACAGAATGAGGCCAATGAGGCGGGTTCTCCAATCCTATCCTCACTCTGCCTTGTGCTCTCAGACTACAGGTGGTTGGTTGTCCATTCCCTGTACTTTAGGGGTCATCAGACATCTGTAAAGCATAAGACCATATGGATTTAACTGTCCCAGGTCATGTGATTTCTGTCTCTTCAACCCTAGTTCTGCTACTAGAGTTTGGAAAGAGCCAGTGGCAATAAGAGCAGTGGACGAGCATAGCTTTGTCTGTACATTTACAAACATTTGTCCCACAGACTATTTTTGATAACCTTTTCAGTATAGCTCATAAAACTGAGAAAAGGCATGAAGCTACTAGGCAGAACTGAGACACATCGTAATTATAATAAATGGGCTAAAATAAAATTTTCAGTAAGTTCTCATGAAATGAGAAACAAGAAAAATATAAACTAGCTTAACAAGGGAGAAATATATTACAGCCAAAAATAAGTAAATAAATTTCATTTGCATATTTTCAGTATGCAAATAGTAGACGGTGAAGAAATGGTAGAAAGCAAGCCTCTCACCAATGGAAAGGTCCTCAGTGTGTTTACACTGAGAGAGTTACCATAGTTTCCTTTATTTGTGATCTGGCTGTAACTATCTGTGTTTCCTGATAGTCTTAGGCAACCCTGTGGGTTGTTTGGCCCCAAAGGGGTCATGACATGCAGGTTGAGAACTACTGTCCTGTACTCTGTCTCCAGAAGTCTTCTTTGAAATCCCTGGAGTATTCCACACTTATGTCCCTCATCACTGCCGCAGGCTTCTATTTGCAAGGTGGAAATGTGTATAAATGCAGACAAGGAATTAAATTTTAATGCCCTTATATTTTAAATCAGTTTAAGTTTAAGTAGCCCCATGTTACTGGTGGCTATTTATTGAATTCCAAGTATGAAGAATGCACTAGAAACAGTTAGATTGAACAAA